AATAAACTTTCAGCATAGCTTTCTCCCCATTTAGATTTATTTTTCTTGGGATCAAACGTGGAAAGATTAGATTGTAATTGTTTTTATTTTTTAAATACATTTTAGAAAAGTGTAATCTATACTAAAAAGCTGTACACCACCTGCTATAAAGATACATATTGTAATACTTTCGGGCTCAGATAGGACGGACACAAGAACTCAGACTTGCGGAGTTAAATCTCAACAAAACAACAAATCTCAATATCTTGTACGAATTATTCGTTATACAAACCAAAAATAGCCTGCAAACTCTCTCACGTTCCTCCAATTATTATAATCCCGACCCTTATGCAAAACCAAACCCTCCTCCCATCCCAGTTTATCCTCTTTATCATAAACAAAATCCACCTCAATTTTCATTATAAAGCATTACACAAAATCAATACCTCAACAATGATAATTCACAAACAGCCAGAACATGTAACTCCACATTCCCAAATAGATCTCATTTCCATAGCCCCGCCCCTTATGCAAAACCAACATCCCTCCCCTGTTCTCTCTCTCCGCTGGTGTTTGTAATCGTTTTTATTTTTAAATACATTTTAGCAAAGTCATGTATTTCTTAAGATTTCTATATTTATGTCTTTATTTAGTGGTTTCATTAGTGACAAAGGCTAAACTTTCTTGGAAAAAGGTATTTTATGTAAACCATGTTTGCTATTAATTAATTTAGGGCTAGAATATGTTCATTGTCTTCCAATGAAAGAAGGGTTCCTTTTGCCGTAGTCGGGCTGACATTAGAAGCTTGCCACGCCCGGAATGTTACACCAACACATTAGCATGTTAAAGCAATTTCATTGAGGAGCCTAGCTTTCTTAACTAGTAAGTACTGTACTTACTGGGTGGTTCTGGAAATCTCGCCCCCTTCTACTTTGAAAATACCTGTGAAACCGGTTTAATTCGTCACAGCCAGCACTCCTGCAGAGAGGGGGGTTGTACTTGCAGTGCATCGGTATAGATGGGAAAGCCAGAGCCGACTGCTACGCCGCCCACGTGTTATGCTCTTCGTTAATGTCTAAGCCTGAACACATCATTATATTTCATTTTGTATTTCTATTAAAAAAAAGCCTAACACTATTGTTGTTATTGTTTTTATCTTGTAAAGCGCTTTGAGGAGCCACCTTTAAAGGCGCCATATACAATAAAGCTCATTATTATTATTATTGTTAATTTGCTGGACAGAGAGGTGAACATTATTACGCAGAAGACAAAGATACCGATTTACGTTGCATTGTGCATTGTGCTGTTGTAATACAGTTTTAAATAATTAAAAGTCTAAACAGTATCAGCTTTATTTATAGCTTTTAAATAAAGGCAATTTAAACGCGATTTAAATCAATATAAATGTTTATATTGTAACGCATAGGTGACTATTCATTGTTATTAAAATGACTTAAATTTGATCATGTTGTGATATTTAGACATTTAAATTTGTTTGGTGTGGGGTGCGGAACCAGGGAACTATTTACATGGAAAATGGGCATTTCCAAGTGCTTGTACAATCGATGGAAATGTTCAAATAAATGTGCAAAAGAAATAAACAAAATAATCATTTATTTCTTTATCATATTGGCTAGCTAATGTCCTCTCTTTGCTAGTTAGTGGCTGTGTTTCTGCGTTGGGTAGCAACAGGTGACTATGTTCTCAGGCGGAAGATGTAAACAGCTTAATTTTCGTGTTAAATATTTTTTTTTAAAATTAAAATTCATTCTATACAGCAATTGCATATTTGGGTACAGTTTCATAAAACTTTCATGCTTAAAATGTTTAGGGAGAAATGGAAGACTGGTGTGTATTTTTTCTTTAAACTACCAAGACCAGCCGTACACAGTACAGTTTACGTACAAACAGTAATGTTTATGTTCCTAAATTAATATCGTTTATGACCTTCAGATGCGTTATGCTCCTCTTCTTTTTATGCTCAGCTACTAAAATTTCCTTTAGTGGTAAAATTTCATATAAATATTCAATACTAAGCGAATTAAAATGTGCACAGTAAAGAGATTAAATTATTAAATCTTTTCACTACTGACCAATGCACCACGAGTGCCCCTGTCGGTCATTTTGGTGCCCTGCGGTGGCTTTCCCGTACCGCGGGTTTGTACCATGCATTTTGAATGGCTGCATCTGTACATAGGCATATTCAGAGATTTATATTTTATATAGAGAGACATATATATTTTTATGGAACAAGTAAAAGGTTTATTCCATGCTAAAAAAGGCTCCACAGCCGAAACGTTGTTTCCTTTCATCTCTGTTCAGCATGGAATAAACCTTTTACTTATTCTTTTGCAGCCTGTGCATGCTGATGCAGCAACTTACTTGAACTACTTCAGCCTGTATATTTTTATAGCATTTTCATGCTTTCAATAATTTTATCCCTGATCTGCTTTGAAAGCTCCTTAGTCTTTATGGTTAAGTCTTTGCTTAAAATTCATTATTTAACTGAGGAACCTCACAGGAAAAGGTATTTTTCTTTCTGAAACCTTGTGAACCACTATTAATGCCCACAGACAGAGGTCATTCAACTCATTGTGTGGCTATTTAATGTCATTCTGTGGGCCTTAATTAATCCACGTATGGCACCTTTTTGTTTTATATAAATTATTTAAAAATTAAAATTGTGTATTATTGTGGAGATCAACCTTAATCTTAGAACGCTGAACATGAAGCTGCAGTTCTTTTCTTTATGTTTTTAACTTACACAGTAAGAAGAGACAAATTGGGAATATCATGGAAAATGGGACAATGAAGACATAATTTTTTTCCTACCAGTTCCTGACATATATATTTGTTTCTGTTTCTGGTGTCCTATTTCATTTAGTTTCTGAAGCAGTACGGCTGCTTGAGATGATCTCGTTTGATGTGTTAATAATTTGATTTGCAGCTGCTGAAAATGAGGACAGCTATGGTTCCAGTGAAGGAGAAGCAGATGGAGGCAGTCTCAGTGGTGAAGGCTCTGTGGGAGGTGAAAGCGAAGATGAGGTGGAAGAGTCTGGAAACCCCAATGCTGGCTGGGCCGAGGCCATGGCCAAAGTCTTGCACAAGACAACGCCGGAGAACAAACCAACAATACTCACCAAGAATAAAAAGTTAGAAAAAATGAAAGAGAAGGAAAAACAGGAGAAGTTAGAACGGAAAAAAGAGGTATGATCTTGGTGACTCTTACTTCCCATGTTAAATGCTATGATCAAAATGCTTAACATAGCTAGTGTACAGTTAGTTTTGTCTTTTTTGTGCACAGTTTTATCTTTCATTTTTTAATTTCTTTGAATGGTTCATGAGCTTCAATTGAATATTTTCTTGTAAAAGAAAAGGATTTGTTCTTGATAAAATCAAAGTTCAAGAAAACCAAGGTGTAATTATTCTCTATATTTTAGCTCTGTCAGAGATTTAAATTAAGAAGCATGGCATAATCACAGAGCACCTGCTTCTATAATGAACTGCCGTCCAGAATAATGGCAGAAATCATATGATAAGTCAAAAACTGTTTCCAATTTTTCTTCACTCTTTCTTTTGCTGTTTACACAGGCAGAAGGAAGCCTTAAATTTGATTATGACTTCTTTTATGGAAGCAGAGTTATGTCTGCAGCCAGCTGATTAGCATTTTTAAGACAGTGTTTGAGAACTAGCCAGGAAGTAATGCATGCTGTACCTATAGTGTTCTTATTCTGAATACATGACAGCAGTGACTTAGCCTACTGTATTTGAGTAAGATGGAAGCAAACATGCAGTTTAATACATTCTGTAACTGCAAACATTAATGTTTGTAGAACTTGGATGTTCCTGTGAATGACAAAAAAAACAGAAATATTGTAATATTGCTTTTAGTTTTCTAATGATACTCTCATGTAAGTATAAAGGTAGGAAGACAAGTAAAATGCAGCTGATTAAAAAATACAATTTATAACGATGCATTGGTTTGGGTTTTTATCAGAAATCAGCACTGTCTGAGGAGCTGTGCAGCTTGTGGCTGGTGGCGGCCTGAAAGTGCTCCAATCCCATCAGGGGAGGAGCTGTACAAATCCTACAACCAGCACAGCACATCACTACAGCTAGTAAAACAATAGCTATAGATTCTATTTCTCAGTGAATTATCGCTTTTGGGTCTACATGGACAACTCTTCTTGATTTTGTACAGCACAGTATGAGCCTTTTTGTAATTTAGTTTGAAAGATGTGTTTTGAGTTCAGGCTTGTTCTTTCAGCTTGATAAGAAAAAGGCTTGGGAGATGATGTGCAGGGTGAAACCAGATGTTGTTAGAGACAGAGAGACGGAGAGGAACCTTCAGAGAATTGCCACAAGGTATCATTTTCTTTTCTCCATCGTTGTCTATGAAAATACCTTTTACTGCTTTATTTATAAAATATTGTTGTTTGCTTTAAAAATAGGAATATATTTTTCCCCTTTATAAAAAAACTGTAGATTTTAGCTTTTTAATGCTGTTTGTATCAGAAACCTAGATTATTGAGAGTCCTGATCACTGGAGTTCAGAAACTCTGATTATTAATATTTGATGCATTCGGTGTAGTTCATTGATAGCAATCATATGCATATTGTCAGTACCAACACAGAAGGTAAATTCTAATACCCTGCTATTAAGTCACACTTTTTCTGTAAGTTAAATGAGAGAATGTGTCACTGCCAGAGATACGATATAGGTGCACTGCCTGTTTTCTTAACATAAAGATGCATGTGTAACTGGATTTTACAGCACAGTGAACGTTAATATTTGTTTAACATGTACCTCTGCTGACAAAACTACATTTGAGAATTTGACTGCCTGTTTCTGCATTCGCATTGCAGTGTTTAGGATGTTCTGTTACAATGTTAAGTTTTCGGCTTTGTTCTTTTTTCCCCTCTCTCAGGGGAGTAGTCCAGCTGTTCAACGCTGTTCGGAAGCACCAGAAGAATATGGATGAGAAAGTGAAGGAGGCTGGGGGTTCAGAGAGGAAGCGGGCAAAGCTGTTGTCTTCAGTTTCTAAGAAAGACTTCATTAACGTTCTTCGAGGGACTGAAACAGGGACATCACAAACAGTCTCAAAATTAGAGAAGAGCAAAAAGGTAGGTCTATGTTCAGAACTTAAGTGCTTTATGCATCCTAGAATTAATAAGCTTGTTTTTGAAGCAAAATGTATTTCTGTCCTTTTTATCACTATATAGAAAATCTTCTAATTTTTTCAAACTTTGACTTTGAAAAGAGTGATATAGGTCTTAAATTCAGCGTGTACATATGACACACAATTCAGTTGCCATATAGATGAATTATTTCAGTCTAGTCAGTGCTGAATAAAATCTGTGCCTTTAAAAATGTGATGAACAAATAAATTGAAATCCCAAAGGATAGTCCAAGAACAATATATTATATATAAGGGCTAAAGTACCTAGTCTTGTAGGACCTATTAATGTATTTGAATGCTTGTTTTCATGTACCCTTACATTTAATCAGTGAAGAAGGTAAAATGTTGTTTGAAATGTCCTGTAACACTTTAATCCAAGTTGTTTGGTTGCCACCCAAAGCTTATTTGACACTGTATGGCCTCAATAGTTTCATTTTGTGACTTTGTGAAAAGTTATCTTTATTCTCTAAATATGTTGTCATTGCAAAGTGTATGTGTTTTGGGTCATTGTTATGTTAATAGATGAATTCTTGTTTATAAGATGGGTTCTTGATGGAATGGCATGGTAGGTCATGACCTGCCTCCTATCTGCTGGCAAACACCTTTGACTGGCAATCAAATTACCTTTGGTTTTATACATGGTTCTGACACTTCTGACTCCTGAAAACATCTAATGTATATTAATTGGTTTGCCGTTGTGCAATGACTATTATACTGCTCTCCAGTCTTGCTTTAAACAAACTTGTTGATTATCATCAAATCACTCAAACCTGGATTAATCTGTAAAAGAGTACTTTTTTCCAAATGTGATCATCCCACTGTTTAATTTCTGTTGTCAATGATTGTTTTGGATTCCTCCATTAAGCAAAGGTTACTGGATAGCTACACAGCATAGAGTGAGCTTTGTGCTAGCTAAACAGGATGTTACCATTCCTGAAGAAGTGTTAATGGCTTGTGACATATCTGGAAAGTGGGTGCCGTCACAGGATATTTGAATAGGTGGATCTCAGGGAAAAGAGACTGACAAACACACAGACACAGGAAAGAGAGAATTTTTTTTTCCTGGCAAAAAAAGAGCATAAGAAAAGTCCAGAAACTGTAGCTATCTAATTTAACCATGTTGAGATATTGAATATGTCAAAATACATTCTCTTCTTCTTAGTTTATTAGCCTTGCTATAAATGAAATACAGGATATTAGTTGTATCCAACAGTTACTGGTGTTTATCAGCCGCAAATGCTGATCTTGACATGACAGAAGGATTTAGACATGTTTTCCCTGCAAAACAGAAAACCAGGACAGGAAATTAAAATCGCTGTATTGCATACCTTGAAGATGTTTGATATTCTTGACTGAATTAAACTCTGAAAACAGATGAGAATATCATTTTTGTTCCATTGCATTAGCATCTGAATGCATTATATACAAGGTTCTATTGTCTCAGTGATTTGAAGTTTGAGTAGTTGAATTGATGAATTATGTCAGGGCTAGAAACCTACCAGCAACTTTGGCTTTTGTGTGAGGTATTTGACACCTATTACGAGAATTTGCTTTTTCACACAGAGATAAGATGGATTTTGTGTGGGCGCATGCTAACACATTTTGTGTGTTTTTGATCACTCAAACTTTTCATTGTTTGCTGTGATTAAACCAATTATTAGCCATTCTCGGGCATCTTAGACTGGTTGCTCTCTGTTGCATTTTTTACGCAATGTCACAAATTATCAAATCTGATCAAATAATTTTGATTATTTACAACCAAAAGTATTTAATAGGTTAATATGATCTTTTTTAGTTTTGTTACATTATTATTTAATTTAAATTTAAATCCTGATTTCAAAGAGGATACAGCTTCCTAAATTAGGATATATACAGTGAGTCTTCAAAATGAATGGAAAATCTACAGATTAGAATCATCATGGTTATTGTGCTAATCAGTTAAAGCATATAGCAGAATATTTTGGTAAAACAGTATGGTTTTTAAATGGTCACCAGGTTTATTCCAATTGAATATTTTAAAATTACATTCATACAGTATGGTGACAATGTAAACAAATGTGGGCTTTATTTTTAGTTACTGATAAATGAATACAAAAAAAACTTTAAAGCCTGGATAAAGCTGTCAGAAAATGGATGGTTGGATAGATTTCTGCATTTCTGGGATTTGGTAGAAGGAATTTTAATTTTCTTATCATTTGAATTGGGATGCTGATTATTGTAGTTGGGAAAATGTAATATGATTAGAACATTTTAACTAATTTTAACATTACAATAATAGTGATTTATTTCATTTAGTGTTAGAATTTTTGTTATCGATCTAAGAACCTAAATATGTTCAGAGGGATCAGAGTTAAAATCAGACTACAGAGCTTAAATAAAAATGTAACTGCTATGCTTTATTGATATATTTTTACTTTAATAACACTGTATTATTTCAGGACATACAAACAATACCCTAACAGATCTGTATTTCTGTTAAAATAATTAATTAAGAATATTTGGCATCAGTCTGGTTGGCTTGAATGTCTCCTAAAGAAATCCTACTCTGATCTCCTAAAGACATCATATGAAAAAAAATGGAAGATTCAGATCTCTATAATCTTTGGTTTTAGAGAATAACAAATTTTGAAATTCCTTAAGTTATGTATTCCAACATGGTAGCCAGACCACATTATCTATCATTCTTTTAATTCTGGCGCTAGTGCTGTGGACCTTTATAATCTTGTCAGGTTTTCTTTGTTTTGAGTTTTCATCCAAGGTTTGGATTTCACAGGACTTTGAAAGTGACCGTGTAAGAAACAAAAAGTACAACTAGAACCTCAGTAATAGCAGTAGGGCAACAACAACACATTTATAAAAAAATATGAACAAAGTATTCTTATATTAATATAATCAATATTATATTAATATAATAGAATTAAAAATTGTTGGAATAGTTCAAGTCACACATTGAGTGAAACTTTAGGTTTATCAGGCTTAAACCAGAGCTGGAATGTAGTGCCATAACATTAATGCTCTCCATGAGACACAGACAGGGAGAGAAGCTTGGGGTCAGAGCGCAGGGTCAGTCATTTATAAAGCACCTGGAGCAGTTGGGGTTAAGGGCCTTGCTCAGGGGCCCAACAGAGTAGGATTCCTCTGCCAGCCGCGGGATTTGAACCGGCAACCTTCCAGCCACAGGCACAGATCCTTAGCCACAGTGCCACCTCTCCACCACTAAGCATGCTGCAGTGTTATTTTTATAAGCAGGATATGACATTTATTTGGTTTTGCCAATGCAGCTGCATTGCTATGCAAGCAGCTTATTCTTTTCTTATCATTTTTTGTGACTTTGGTCCTGTAAAGCTTTCTAAAAAGCATGGCAAGAACATTACGAATGTTCGTTTAAATTCTGAATGTTTTAAGACGTCACAGTGAATTTACTTCCTGCCAGAATCTTAAATGTGTATTATCAATCAATGGAATGTCTCTTATAAATAGCATTTCCATTTTTTGTTTGGTCAAATCATCAAAAAAACATATTGTAGAAGTGATTTCTAAGATAATCTCTGAAATTCCCTTATTGGCATTTCAACACTTGTATATACCCTGAAACAAATTTCACTGCCTACACATGTCCACAAGGTTGCGCTGTTGTATGTAAGATGATCCTCTGGAAGCTGATGTTTTAAGAAAGTGGTTTGGGAACCATTAACTTTTTTAAGATTCTTCCTGATGATTAATAGAGGATGTCACTCATTTCTTACCTTTTTGCCACAACAAAAAAACATATCCAGCTGTGATCTGCATACCAGATTTTTCAAGGCAGTGTAGGATCAATGATCCAAAAGGAATTATATTTTGAACATACTTTAAGTAAAATGTAGGAGAAATATAGGTACTTGTTTAATATAACACCAATAAAGAACAAGTTAAGGTTAATTCCATACTGAAAAGTAGAAAAAAGAAACATAACATTGTTTCTTCAACACGGCTTCTTTAGGAGGGGTTATGTCAAAGGTTAAGACAAAATGATGCGTTTACTTAAAAAACAGTAAACCTCAAACATCAAAGTTGCATGAATTATTTTAAAACAGAGATATCACTACTTTCAGTAAGTATATGTATTTTTATTTTGTTTTAAGTAGTTCACTGTTAATTATTCAAGATACAGACAATTATTTTTATATTGTTTTATATTTGCAGTTACAAGGGTCATTTTATATTTTGTATCTTGTGCTGTGTTTTAAACAAATTAAATATAATTATTTTGGTATTTGTTCAGGATCTATATACATGATTGATTAGCATGTCAGTGTTTTAGAAATGTTTTAGTTCAGATATTATTTGGCAGAATAATTAAATTGATAAATATCTTGATAAAAGGAAATAAGATTTTAACAGTTAGTACCATTTTGTACACCAGTCAGATTGTGTGATTTCTTACTTTTGTTTAAAATCTAACACTGTATTAAATACAACATTGCTACTGATTCTTGTGTTAATGTGGAGGTACTGTATTGGTACTCAGCATAAAAAGTGTTGACATTAATGTACTTAGCCTAAAAATAGGCAGTGTGGAGGCTTTGGATTCTGGATTGGAGGGTCATGGGCTCAAATCCCAGGTGGGATACTTCTCTCAAATTACAATAGGACCTGGTATATTACAGTGCTGTAACAGTAAACATCTTTAACTTTAAATTATTATTCCCATTAAATAAGAAATGTAATGCTTAATACTAACACTTTATCATGTCACAGAATGATAGCATTTAGAACTAGAATAAAAATGCTTATTTGCAGGACAAATTGTAATCGTGCAAGTATTTTGTTGTTGCTTTCTTATAATGTCTCATTTCTCATATTACATACATATATATAAACTTGACAGCAGTATAGCGATACATTCTAGCAGTGTAGCCTTACCGGGAAATTGTTCTTCAAATGTTAGAACTGTGTGTTCTGTAGATGGATCTTTTATTAAATGTGGTAGATGTTCAGATGAGATAAATTGTTACAACTCTCGGCAATGAAAAAGTATCTAACCCAACGCAGTATATCTTCCAGTCACCACCTTCTTTCCTGCAAGTATGGAGGTGGCAGCTTTGTCCTCATCAACAGGGACTGGGAATCTGTCAAGATTCACTGGGAAATGGAAACAAATACAGGCAATCTGGGAGAAAAGCCTGCTCCAGCCTTTCCTCCAAGATTTGTCTGAATTTCTAAAATGAAATTTTATCTTGAATGAAGAATGTAAATGTCCTTGAGTGGCCAAGTCAGAGTCCTGACTTGAATCCAGTTTATTATATGTGTCATCAACAATCCTGAGCATTTTTGCACAATGCAGGGATATTGCACCCGCCTGCTGTTGGTAAAGACTTATCCAAAATACCTCGCTACTGTAATTGAAGCCAAGGGAGCAAGTATTGACTCACGGGGGTATATTCTTATACAATCAATAAATCTGTTTTTTATTTTGCTTTTTTTTTGCTGACATTTAACTTCTTTCACTTATTAAGGTATGCAGTTTAAATAGTCATATTTGGCTTTAAAAACGTGTATGCACCATTTGTATTTAATCAAAATGGCACTTCTTTCTCAAGGGGAGAGTTAATTTGCAATTTTTTGTTTATACCTACAACATTCACGTGTCTTTACTGATTTTACATCCAAGATTAGCAAGCAGCCAGGCGTTCATTTTAATCCTGTTTAAAATATAGTTGATGTTTAGGTAAATTGGGTGGGAGTGGAGCAAAATTACCTACAGGATAGATATATAAAGATGCTGAACTGTATTTAGTTCTATGTTTTCTTTGCTGATGTTGCAAGCCATTGGTTATTTAAATATTTGTCCAAGGGGATACACATATTAAACTAGAAATGCCCTTTTCATACACAATCTGTGTACTTTCAATGGACAGCATTGTTGCAACTCTTAAACAGAGTTCTAAGAACGTGCTGCTGTGATAGCATCGAAATGTGCTGTAGCTCACATTTATACTATAGTAGACATGGTCACTTTACCATAAGTGTCTTCTGTAGTATAAATGTTGCAATAAATACTGATGACAAAATGCTGTCAAAAGTAATAGCTTTTCAAATGATTAAATATTGAAATGTGCTAATGTTTAATTTAAAGTAAAATGTAAAACGTTTTTTAAATGTGTCTTTTATAGAGTGGCATAAAAACAGAAGACAAGCCATCTTGGAGTATATTGCGTGACGATTTCATGATGGGTGCAGCCATGAAGGACTGGGATAAAGAGAGTGAGGAAGAGAACTGAAGGCTTGAAAGGATCATCATGACAGTGACTCGAACTGCTTTTACATTTTTTGCCTACGAAATTGTCAAGAAGCACGGTTTTCCTTCTTTTGTGTATATGCCACATTCTTGGAATATTTTGAAGGTTTCATTTCATATGGACTTCACAATGATTTAAGACTAAGACCTCTAACTTGGCACATACAAACTCTTCTGGTTAGGTTTACCAGGTTCTGCCAAGTCAAAATTCTAGAGAGAAACTCTCTTTCTCTCCATTTGTTTTCTTTCTAGAGAACCTTTACGTGGATTGTCCACATGGGAATTTGTTAATGCTCATGAGATAGTGTAAGATAGTGATTTTCTTTCTCTAAATGACAGCAAGATTCCAGCTCACTGTTTACTGGTATATAAGTTACTTGACAATAATATGCAACAGTTTTATTTTGTGTTTAATGTTTTTGTCTTACGGTACCTATTTTAGAACCATGTAACTTAGTCATTTTGATTTTGGCTGCTGTAGATGTAATTAACATTTTTGCCCAGGATTTTTTCACTATTATTTTTACAGCTCAAAGTTGTAATACATTTACCATTAAACAGTGATAATGGCATTTCCAGATTTTTCTACTTCTTACTTGCTGATCTACTTTTTAGTAGCTGTTACAGTGTCATCCACTAGCATATCTGCCTGTTATGTGACTCCTGTGTAACTTAACTTACCCCTGCAATCTTGCTGTTTCGAGCTGAGTAAAACAGTTTTGCTGAACATAACTCAATTTCAAATCACAGTCTGGAAAGTTTAATGAAACAATGCAGATTAACAATATACAAGGTATCTTTTTTTTTCTTACTCAGCTTCAAGGAAACTTTAGTTTTTCCAGAATGAGCTATCTGAGTTACATTCTGAGTTGCATGGCATGATGTGCAGTCTTAGTTACCTGCTGATGAGGACTATCATTTATATGCAGGCTCTAAAAGAAACGGCTATGATTTAAAAAACAAAAAGATTGTCCCTGCAGGCATTGTACTTTTTCCAGCTTAACTGTAACTTGAAATAGTAATGCTTTTAATTTTTTTTTATAAGGCAATGAATTGGTAGTTAAACCAATTAATTCACCAAATGTGAGTCTTAATTAAGCTATGCTGACCAGTTGATTTTTTCAGGACTTTGTTTTATGTAATAAAAAAGAGTAATATCCCTTCAAATAAAATACCTGTAGTTACTATACAGGGTGAATTAATTGTGCAAAGTATGGTAATTCATGAAAAAACAGTAACACTTGTTTGTTATTACTGTACAGTTGTTTGTATTTGCATTCAGTCAGAATTCTTTAAGTCCACAATTGTATATAAGAATTCCAATTTCTCATGGTTTGGCCCACATTTTACCATATTGATATACCTGCCAAATAGCTTATCAGTTTGAAAAAGCCATCAGTCACGCTGGTGTTTGCTAACCTGCCTCCAAAGCATAGACGATCATTTTCTCATATGATTACCAAAGATCTGTCACGATATCATATCAGGATGTGAATTTTCACATAATCTGTCCACTTTTCAAAGTATTCTGTTCACCTAACCTGCTTATTCTTTGCGTCATGCACTTCCTGTGTCCATAGTTTTATATTTCCTACCCATTTATTGAAATTATTCCCCATGTACTTTTTGTAAGTAACTAGAACCAGTGCAAGTCACAAATAGAAAGTGTTTTAGCTATATAGTTCTGAACTTAAAAAGTGAAAGCAAAAGTTAATATTCTGTATTCATTCACTATACACTGGTGCATGAAAGAGATTGTAATCTTCCCTCTAGTTTAGTGCACGTTATGGTCTTTGCTTATATACATTAATAATAAAATAGCCTGAAAGTTATTCTCTTACCCATGTTAGGTTTGATCACAGTAACACAAACAAAATAAAAATATTGATCAGAGAATTCGAGTGAAAACTTTAAGAATAACTTCTATTAGCCAAAAGATGGCAATAAAAGAGGGATCAAAATTGATTCTTCAACTATTTTATGTCGGCACATTATCACAATTCTAAAACAGTTACATAATTGCACTTTCTAATCATTTAAATAAGATTAAGGAAGTCATCCAAAAAGAGGTAAATTTGGCATCATCATAAATATGTTTTTTTAATTTCCTGTAAACTGGTACACAGTGGATGGGAAGTTAGTACTCCATTCCTGAAGTTCAAAGGACTTAAGTAGACAGTCTCTTGATTTTAAAGTATGGCTAAAACTATGATCAGTACAAATCTTGATTTAAACACCAGACTACATATATTGATGTGCTGGAAACATATGTTTATAATTAAAAAGATAGAGATGAGAGTTTCAAACTTGGGGGTTTTGAAAATTTGACAAGTGTGATGCATGGTTGTTTGGCAACAAATGAAGAGTTTTAAAATTTATTGATGAGTACAAATGCAAATCAATCTGTCTTTCACTGTGGACTCTGCTGGAAAGTCTAAAGCATCTTAAAAACAAAGAAGAGGTAAGTCCTAGCTCTGTCTTTTCATTTTAAATTATGTGAGCACAAAATCTCAATACTTTGGCTAGGAACTTTGCCATTTTTATAATTCAACAAAGTGTCATTTGTCAAATTATTTTCCGAATGAAGTAGTGGTTTAAGGACTAATTTATCTCATATTCTGCTTTGCTGTGCAAATTTCTGCTAGATTGTGGTAAATAATGTATGTGATAAAAAATTGCATTTGGACTTATTTACATTTATATTTAGCATACTTATTATAATGATAAATTTCCAAAAATGAAAATATGTATCATAGAAATCAATTGTTTTCCTGCTTAATCTGAGTTGAAAGTGTTGAAAACGTGTTTTGACTCACTAAAAGCCATCATTGATGTGGGGTTTTGGCTGTGGAGTTTTATTAGATAATGTCATAGTTACAGTGAAAAAATGTATTCTGACTGAACTCCAACAACTTTAAATGAACCTCTTAAACTTCAAAGGCCATATGCAATACAGCAGATCTACAGAATATACAGTTTGTAGAATTATTCCCCCCTGTTTTTAATAATGCTGAAAGGATTTCAAGTAGGTAAGCTGCAAAGGAACTGGTAAAGGTTTATTCCAAGCTTTTGTTTTCCATGTGGAATAATCCTTTACCTGTTCCTATGCTGAAAGGATTCCATGTCTTAATAAAAGTGAGGAAATTCACTTTGGGAACGTTACTAAGTGGAATGGTCGCATCTCCCTATGTTAACATTGTAATGTACTGAAAGCCAATTAACTTACTGTCGACCTACTGAGAATGGAGGCACTGAAACCCAAACATAGCCAAGAAATTTATGTTGATTGAATAAGAGGATTGTCAGATTTGGTTTAATTTAGCATTTCATCTCTTATGGCTATAGTCATGAGGCACTTATAGGTTTTGTGTCACAAAAAGGCCCATGGGGGAATGGGGGGGGGAATTCTCTCAATCATCCAACACTGTAGGTAGAGCTAATGTGGTCAGCATCACAGTCTGGCCAGCCTATTAACCCCCACTACTCATTTGGAAAGCAGGCTGAGTGGACCTGAGAGCCATCTGGAAGGAATTAGAGTAAGCTACATCACTTGCCCCCTACCTGGGATTGAACCCAGAACCTTCCGGTTAGGAGCTAGATGCCCTTGCCATCTGAGCTACTACGGCTCCTCGTAAGGTACCTATACACATGTAGAATCATGGCTGCATCACTGGGCTTCACAAGTGCTGTTTCTACTGTATGTAATTAAAAATGACAGGCCCTTTGAATATTGTCAGTGTTGTGGTTTTGGTTCATTCCTAGTTCCCCATCTCATTTCTGCTGTTGGACATACAACACAAAAACAAGAGAAATTATGACGGGCAAAGCCTCTACAGCAAGCCACTCTTTATCCCATATAATGCTAATCTTAAATCTGGCGTCAAGCTACCTAAGTGGTTCAATGTAGATACTGGCTAGCAGTATTTTACTTAATTGATGAGGCCCAATTTGCGACACAGTGGCATAACTCTCAAGCATGCAATGCTCAAGCCAGACTACTGAATATGCAAAACATTACATAAATGACTTTCTTGAGCAAGTTATTGATGTGCAACAAATTGTGTAAATACAGACATAATTTTAGTAATATGTATGATCATTCTCTTTTAAATGCTAGCAAATTAACGTTGAATTATGTGCAGATTTGGCATTTAAACTTTGATTCAGGCTTGCAAAATAATGTTGAAAAGATCCTGGAAAATGCCAGATACCCACCATCAAGGAGATGTCTATATTATTGGATTTGCAAATGGAGTTATAATTGAAAAATGGAAATTCTGAGTTGATTCTGTCTGGAACTAAAACTGCAACATTGGGCAGTTAAATTTTGTAGACATCAAAAACAAATTGGATTTGTAATGGATTGTATATTGAAATGACATAATTGAATCTATTTGCAAACTAAAACGATTTTAGTTGCTTCAACATTGATTCACAGAACAGCCAGTCAGCTAGGTAGGATATTTACTACTATGATACGTATTTACTACTATTCTTATAACCACCTCAGGTTGGATGACACTCTAAAATATTTTAATGTTTTTTTCTTTCCACAAAGTGTATGCGTGTTGTTTCTGGAGGACTTATAAGTTATGAATTCACATTGGTTTAACTATTTTGTAATACCAGCCTCAAAAAGTTGGGTCATTGAATAACTTTTAATTAATTTCTTGAATTTACACCTTTGACCATCAGATAGCATGACCAAGCTAATGTTTAATAATAGTCACAAATCAGTCGAGTTTGCAAATAATGCCAAATTAGGAGGACTGGTAAACACTGTAGAAGCAGAAATGTTTAGATAAAACACCTGGCAGATGATGCACAAGTGCAGGATTTTGAATGCAGTTTGCAAAAACATAAACTGTAAATGCAAAATGGGACTCACTAAGATTCTAAAATATGTTCTAAAAATATTGTTGAGAAAAATATGTTGAGACTTCATTTACATCTTTTAGGCAATGCGGGGAAGCAGTGCAATAATGCACTTATAAAAGCTCATTGAGAGTATTGTGCACAATTTTGGTCACTACATATACTGTAGCTGCTCTGGAATCAGACCTGAGACGTGCTACCAGCTACACTGCAGAACAAAGAATATTCTAGGAACCAGAAGGCACAAGTTAAAAGTACATGAAAGTGCACTTAAAATAGACAACAGGGGGCACGTCTTTACCCAAAGGATTGTACGAGCTTGGAAAAAAAAAACTACCAAGCCATGTTGTTGAAACTGACATCACAGCGTCTTTCAAGAAATGGCTAGATGAAATTCTTGGATTAATTAGCTGCTGACTATCAAATAGGCTAGATGGGCCAAATGGTCTTTTCTGCTTAGTAATTGTTCTTAGTCTTAGCCCTGTGATGAGAAAATGACACAATAAATACAATATGCAGCTGTGAATTAAAAAAAGTAATTGAACATGTTCAATGTACTGCAGTATTTGCCAAAATAAAATTAATTGTGAGAATTCAATACTAACTTGCAGTATAAATGTGTGCTCTTCATAACAAACCACTGTTGCTTGTTTGGGAGTTAGCTAACATTTGTATTTCACAGAAAAATCATGTTTATTCTGTAAATTTAGAACAGTGGGTGTTGGTTTTAGTGGTAATGTAAGACTGACCTATGTCCTTGAGTCAGTAAACAGGAGTGAAGGTCTAAATAATCAAGAGCAGTACTAATTGACTTGGATCTAATTACCTTAAATCAGCCATGTCATAGAATAGAAATCCTTAAACATGACCGAAACATTCTTAGTGAAGTCATTAAGCCAGTCTTCACTGGAATGTGTCATAGGACAAAATAGACCTCAAGGGAAAGAAAATATGGTAAGACCGTTTAGAGTAAGAGGAGAGAATTGAACCGCAATAGTATTTACCTACTTCAGGTAGACCGAGAAACCAGATTCTGTTTAGTTCATCTGAAGACTGGAAGAAAACCCTCTTCCAGTCTTGTTTGTGTAAATTGTGGTTACTGATTTTGTGGATTACACAGGCTAGAGAGTCTGTCCTTCATTTGGAATAGGTACAGTAAATGGGTTCTCATTCAAAGAGCATTTTTTGGAGAGAGAATATGTCCTGGACAAAATGATTTTGTTTTCGGCCTTTTAAGTTGTTTTGTGTTTGTATTTTAGTGTGCCTGTAAAAGACTCTGATACTCACAAATTTGTAAATATCTGTATAGTAATAGTGTAAAATGTTGTGTATGTATGTGCATCTTATTATAATATTTGTCTGTATTAATAAACTTGATGTCTAGTCTTGATTTCAAAGCTGTGCCAGAGTACAAATAAATCATGTGCTGTTTTGCTTAGTTTTCTCTGACTTTAGGGGGTAAACCTATCATTAATCTTTATAATTTTGCTTGCATAGCAAGCTGGTGTTAAGACCCAATTTTGATCTATTAACCACTTTTAATTTTACCCCCCCCCCCATTTAAAAAAAACATAAAAAATCAAGTCCCCTTAATAAACACAAAATACTGTTTTTGTTCTATTCATGAAGGTACTATTGTCATTGGTGCATACTGCTGTTAAACTAACTCATTGAGAAAAATGAGCATGAACCTTTAGAGGGCGTGATAGCTCAAGGAATATTTATTCACCATATTTACATACAGACTCCTGTATGGAACCACTTAGATTCACCGACATGACTTACTGGATTTCACTTTTTAGTTTTAAATAACAATAAATATAGCTCTTTATAAAGATATGTTTTTGTTCAAGCTTTTGAAAATAGTTACTTTCCCATTATAAACAAAAAGAAATCTTCCTGCTGTATACATAAATTAAAAATAAAGTTCAAGTCCTGCCTTCTCAAAGCTTAAATTCTTGAAAGTTGTATCTAGCTTGAATTATTCTATTAGAATCATTTCATTGAAATAACAAACCTGGAGGCCCATTTACAACGAATGGCATTGACTGGAGCAGTCCAAGTGAAGTACGCTGCTCTAGGGTATAATGGAAGCAGTGCACTCAGGATTTCTGCCCATGTGTCTCCTGTAGAGTTCAGACCCCTAGCCATTACTCCACACTGTCACCATGGTTGATAAAGAAGACTATCCAAAACACATTGACAGTGTTGGGTGGTGAATTAAGATGAGCCCCTTGGTCAGGGGATATAAAAGATGGATGTCAAAGATTAATGCTAATGTAACAAGTGTTTTATCTCCCTGAATGGATAACCTTGGGAAGCCCAATGGCACGGTGGCTATCATTGCTGCCTTGCAGTGTGGGGATCCTGTTTTCAGTTCCGTGCTGTCAACATGGTCTTCCTGTGTTTGCATCCAAGTGCTCTGTTTTCCTCCCTCAGATCAAAGATGTACTGGCAGGTTAAAAGATGTCTGGGAAGATGGTTTCTCATGTGAGTGTGTTTGTGTCCCATCCAGGGTGTACCCTGCCTTGCACCAGTTGCTTACAAGCATAGATTCGACCCGCGTGACCCAGTATTGGAAAAGGCAGTTAGGAAATGGATGGATGAATGGATGGAATGAATAACCGTATACCATTGCAGAGTTTTGATTATATTAAAACAGGAGAAAGAATACAGTGACAGTATATAGAGACTGAAGATAAAGATATAAATATTGAGTACAAACTATCTATCTCAGAAATCATGTAAGACTGGATCTTATTACTAATTGGAAGAGAGGTATATGAGGCAAGTCAAGCTGACACCAGATGTGGTGGTATGAAGAAGTAGGACTCATTCTTTCCTGCAGGGGCACACTGTAATATAGGAATTGTCATGACATTTAAACTGCCAGCATAACTTGGGGGGTCACAGCATTAACACTCCTGTTAATGGAGACAAGAGATCTCAGGTATAGGCTGAAAACATGCGGAAAGTTAGTGACTAACAAACACTCCACAACACTGACACATGCTTTCTTAAAAACAAGAAAAGTTTTATTCCATGCTGAAAAGAGAAGAAGAGAAACACCTGAACACCTGAAGCCAAAACGTTGTGTTTCTTTTCTTCTCTTTTCGGCACGGAATAAGCCTCTTCTTGTTACACATGCTGACGCAGCCCCCTGCTTGAACTACCTGATTTCTTATGACCTACTTGAAATTGTTTCTTCACTGAGCTTTAACTTTATATTCTGCTCCCCCTGCTTTTACCTCTGGTACAGCTGTCGCATATGACGTAGTGCATCCCTTGGAGTCCGTGGTTTTGGAGAAAGTCAAATTGGACTGCATAATATAAGCAGGTTGTCGGGTTGTATACGTGGTCTAAAAAAGGTAATAGAAGTTCAAATGTCAATTATGACTTGTTGATGATACTTAAGGGAGTGAAGCAGAATATACCAGATATTTCCCTAAAACATACCTGAATTAAATCTTACAAATATATTTTCAATAAATTCAGCTTCCAAAATATTTTTTTTTTGCATCCTGCAGGCGCTAGGACCCAGATCCTCTTTTTTACCACTTATTTTCTCTGGCACAATCTTTACAGCCTTACATTTATATAAAGCCGGGTAACGCAGGCTGAGGAGTCCACTGTTTGAATATGATGACCACAACGTCACTTCATTGGGAGGCAAACACGTGGTGAAGTGAGTCCCTTATATATCAGCGTCCCTCTGTCCTCGCTACATGGTGATGTTATCTGCTGGCAAGCTTACTTTTCTAGGGGGCCGAGAATTTAACAGGATGGATGGAGGAATATAATAACGGTTTGCAGTTGCAGTCGTGGAAAGGAGTAGAGATTAATTCACTATTTGTTCTTATTAATAATTTGCCTTCGGTCAATTTGGATAACCAGCAAAAAAAAAAGTCCGGTAAAAGAGGCAATGCAGGGTCCATGTAAATTTCAAGGGGGGAAATTCAACTGCTAAGCTTGAAAGGCGGACTTGTGCTGTGAGCGGCAGAGACCAGAGCTGGAAAGGACTCCAGAAGCGTTTCTGATGCGGTGGAGGTGTGTGCGATCGGCAGGGCTCACGTCGGTTCTGCTAAACAGGGGCTAACTTAGGCTTGGTTTATTTTTTGAAGCGTTTGGATAATTTTGGCTTTTAAGACAATCTTTAAAAATATTTATTTTTGATATATATTTGAGAGCTAGCAGAGTCATCTGTAAACGCACTACATTAGCTTATTCGTATGCTTTTATTGCTCGGTATGTGAATAATAAAATACAACTTAATGTAAGTTCGAATTGAGGGGGAATTTAATCAATGCATGGACTCCCCACATAAACACTACAAAAGTTGAGGTTGATCCTATTTTGTTGCAGAATTTTTAAATATTATCTCCAGTACAACATATGCACGCCTCGATCGCTGTTTTAAAGGAAAACGATACTTCATTAAAAAGATGAACTGCTACATTCTGAGTATTTTCTTAACGTTGGATTTAGCCACTTCGGCTCTTAGTTTGTCTACTTGCAGTACTCTCGACATGGATAAATTCATGAAAAAAAGGATTAATGCCATCAAGGGACAGATACTGAGCAAACTGAAGCTCTCTAGCCCACCTTCACACTTCCCTGAACCTGAAGAAGTTTCCAGGGAAATAATCGCTATATATAATAGCACAAGAGACCTTCTGCAGCAGAAAGCTAACGAGAGGGCTGCGACTTGTGAAAGGGAAAGGAGTGAAGAGGAGTATTATGCGAAAGAAGTTTACAAGATAGACATGCTACCTCTTTACTCTTCTGAAAGTAAGTTGTTCTTCTTCTCTAATACAGCTGTTGCTTCGAATGAGATAGTTCCGTGTAGAACACCTTAACATGTCATTGATACATAGCTACTGCATGCTAACTAGTTTAAAATCTGATAGAAATATGCAACTGTCCTTAAAGGCGATAGATTAAGAAGACATTGTTTCTAATTTTCATTTCCAGAACAAAACACGAAAACGTTATGTTCAAGTAAAATGATACTGTATTTTTTCCCTCAAAATGTACCGGTTTTCTTAAGATTTAAATGAAGACCAGCAGCTCGTTAAATCCGAGGAATAAACGACATGCGGCAGGGAAATTACAATTATTTTACAATTCCAATTTTTCGTTTTGTACCGCAATGGACATTACTGAAGGTGCACTTTTTAAATTATTTTTAGGCCAATCTTGAAATTTTATAGTATATTGAACAATATCGATTTATATAATAAGTCATTTTAGCGCACGGTACTACAGGGAGAATCTGTATTCAGACTATAGATATCAGGATGACTTTGTAACTTTACACTTGTTTCTCATTGCAAATGTTATTTTTAGGGCAACAAGTTGCCACAAGCTTGCGTGCTGTTGTCCGAATGCTTGAAGCAGATGCCAGCGTATAACTTGTTTATTTTTGATGAGTGCGTTTGTGTTGGTTAAGTGTATTGTAAAGCTCAACACTACACGAATTGCTTTGCGAATGGATTGCTGTCTTTGATAAGCACATTTCTTTACACTTTGAGGTAAAACAAGAATACTCATATTCCTAAAATTACCGGATTCTATTCGCAGCTGTTTTCTTTGCTTGATTTAATATTACTTTCTACCTTAGAATGTATGTAAAAAACCTCTAAATGTTAATCTATCATATACTGTATATAGTAAATTTCAGAAAAACGTTTTGTACCATTTTATAGGAAATGGGTTTTACACAGGCAGTCCACTAGATGGAGTAAATCTAAATACTATTTATAACAAGCGGACCTTTTCTTTAGTGTGGCAACTCATGCTGTTTGGCATTAGGAAATGAAAGAGATACGCAATGACAATTTTAATATCCGGATGCAGAAGTAAACTTGGAGAACCTTCGTTTCACATCAGCACAGCAAAGGAAAAAAAGATAAAAAAAAGAACAAAGCGAAATGAAAACCTTAATATTTGTAGAGTTTCCAGTCATTTTTTAAATTAAAATACTATACTTTAAAAGTAGGGTATAACATAAACAACTTTTTGACCTGCAAAGACTAAGGAGATAAACGTCTTATTGAGTCCAAAAGAGATTTGAAATAATAAGCTAAAATTGATTTTGTCTATCCATTCATCGGGTTTTCTTTCACTATGAGAGTTATAAAGATTTTTACATTATTTTTTTAGCTTTCTTTTTTTTTCAAATTAAACATACGCAACTGCGTAAAAATAAATAAGAAGTTATTTTATATACCCCAAGGTCTATTTTTTATTAAATATTATCCTTGGCTGAGCCTAGTGTATAAATACCGATAATATGAGTAGAACTGGCTGCATGCCAAACTCAGTCAGGAAGGCATTTATGGGGTATAAATAATACTATGTCAACATGAACAGAAAGAACTAGATTATTTTTAAATACATTATTATTATTAATCTTGACTTCTTTGCCACTACTGCTGGTAAAGCTCACAGCAGAATGTTTTTTTTTTAAATCTACCTCAAATATAATCACATACAAACGTGTATATTAGCACAATTATATTTTATAAATAATAAACAGTCTGAATACAATGTAATTTCAAAATGGTCATGTTTGGCAGGTACCAGTACTGTACATTTGAGGGTGTCTACAGTACTTGGTAGGGCGCCAAGAAGTCCAAACATGCCCACCCTGAGGTATAACATCACTGGAACTGATACAAAAAAATGTATGCAAGAAGGAGCCCTGGCAAGAGAGAGCATAGCATTAATATGTGATCTGTGTGGCAAATTCCCATAAAAAAAACAACTGGACCACAGTAAAGTCAAGTGGGATCCTTCACCTTCAAAAACAAATCTAATAAAAACAAAATAAACCCACACTCGGAAAGAAACTAAAGCAAAGCTTGCAAACATATCTGCCAATGGGCATTGCATTCAAAGGATCTAAACTGCTGCATTCACAATTCATACTGTACCAGTAAAAATGTATATGTTTATTACAATGCAAGATAGCATGAAAAATGTTATTCAAAGTCAATATTTCAAATTGTGTGTTTCATGTAGGTTATGCTACAATACAGCAAACAAAAATGTTATTCTTCTATCATATTTTATTAGATTTATGAGTACTGTATTACTGGAGTCCTAGGAATCCTACATAATATTTATTTCCTCTGAAGTATCAGATGGAACAGAAGCCTTTTTTTACAACCCGTTGAGTAGCAGTTATGCTTAATTAAATGTTTGGTTTTCATCAGCCTAAAATGGTATGGACAGTTTGACAGGGAGAATCACATTCAATTGTGCCATTCTATAGCATTGCGGTTAGTGTATTGTGTATTCTGTTCACTAGGATTGGCAGTGGTCTGGATTTGTGGGTTCTGGAGGGGGTTCGGTCCCTTCTCTGGTTCTGGAGCTGCTGTACTGTGGTTCAGCACCTCACCTCTCCAGCTCTGTGCGGACTACAACTCTGTTGTTATTAACTACTCCAAGATGATTATGTGCTTACGGGTAAAATTAAAAGAACTTTAGAAAGAGATTTAAGGTTTTAAGGTTAAATCATCCTATTTACAAAAAAAGATCATAATGAACTATTCAGACAAAATAAAAAATCTAAGGTATGGAAGTGAAGCATTCTCATTTACAATTATGGGTAACAATCAAATATTAAACGAAGAAGGAAAATAAAGTGGGTAGACGAATGCGGACAGAAAAAATAAACAGATTTCCACTTCAGATTAATATGAAATTATTTATTCCTTACTCAGGCATAGTTTATGGCTCATAAGCTCTTGTGTAGCCTAATCTTGTTCCCAGATCTTTGACTAGATCCCTTGCTTTGGAGTACAGTCTTTCACTTTCAAGTGCTTTTGCTGCCAAACAGAAGAATCTAAAACTGTTAGTTAGGCAATTAATCTCTTGGTGTTTTCCAATAAAAGCCTAAAGGCTTTTATTGGAAAACACTGTTGCATACAGCTTTAAGTCATTGTGAAAATCAAAAATCAGATCTTTTCATGTCATCATCCTAAGGACTGCTGTCAGAGAGCTCATAGATACTTAGAGATGTGTGTTTGTCTGCTCTCTTGGATGCAAGGCGATCATTTTTATCCATTGCATATTGACTGGACAAGCCTTTCATCTCAGCTTCTTTTTGATCCTTGATGACAAAATAGCTTTTAAACTGTGGATCGAGAAAGTTGATACATGGTGATCAAGGTTAATGCTTATCTGTCATGTTCATTGCATTGGATTTAGTTTTTAAGCTGTCTAATTTCTGTGAAATCCAACCTCTGCAGGGAGAAGGAGAGATGTGGTTGGAGCTTTTTGCTTCAATGGGTTTTAGTGGCTTCCTGGAATGTGTTGACCATCTTGCCTACTTCTTTTAGTGGCATCTTTTCTTCAGCAGTAATGTCTAGTGCTGGTTTCTTCCATTTAACAGATGCAACCTTTAATACTATGTGCTTGTCAGACCACTTTCTCAAGCACTGGCAAGCTTGAGTTCCAACTTTTCTCACAGTGTTTTTCTGTGGCTCATGTTTAGTTTCTGTCAGCTGCCCTTATGCTAGCATAAGCATGCCAGGCTCTTGGTGGCTTCATAAAGAAGGTAACAATAGATCAACATCTTTCAATCATCAAAGACTTTCTTTTACTGGAGTGTGCATTTTTGTCATAGGAAAAATAATTTGCTGTAGGCAGAGGTGTAAACTGTGCCAGACGAGTGCTCTGTTTCAACTTCAAGAGACTAGGCACGTACAGCACTGGCTTCACTGCCAGTAACAGCACACACCAGTTGCTTTAAGTTAAAGGAGTCGAGCACATTTTGCACAAAGAGGCAATGTTCTTCTGCTGATGAGTATGCAACTCATCAGCAGGAGTGCAGCCAATAGATTTTACATAATTCCACTTTTGGTCAATCAAATAGCATGTCATTGCAAGAAGCCACTTCTAATTTTTTGTGCAGATCCACAGATCAAATTTAATAGCTGCGTGTGAAGCAGATTGTAGTTCATGATTTGAGCTGCTCAAAAAGACTGAGCATGGGTTGTGTTGGTATCCTGGACCCAGCAGGATCAGGATCTTTGTGAAAAGATGTAAAACTAAAATTACATTGTTATTTAAAAACATTTTTCATAAGTAATAAATGAAGGTTATTTATTCAAGGCACTTTATAAGGAAATACATAAAACTACAAATGAGTAAGTACTGTAAATCAAAAACATATTAATTTGTAAAATGTCCTTCTTTGTTTTGATAAACTATTTTTTTCCAGTTACCTTTACATTCGTAGTTTTTCATTCCATGTTTTTAAAAACTTAAAATTTGTTTGGACACTTTTGTAGTCTATACAACTCATTCATATTAAAGATACTGTGGAAATGGAATAAAGTAACATAGTTGTAAATTGACTATTTAAAAAAAACATTATAATTATAGTGAGCTCTTGACATCTGAAAATGTAATATTATTAGCCATTGGGTCTGGCTGACAGGTTATTGGATAAATGAAGAGCAGACCAGATTGAAACTGTAAACCACAACTTCTGAATTAAGTACATCACAGACTGGGATTGTGACAACGCTCTCTAGGTGAGAGAGCCTCTCTGTGCCCCCTGTCCCAAGTAACCACTACTCAGCATCTGCATCTCAATGTGGTCCTGTTTTTATATTGCAATGAACGCTCCTGGTTTCTGTGTTGGCTGTGTGGGGAAAGACAGGCTGGAGACGACTTTGCCAGGGAGCCTGTAGTTTTATTGTCCATTTACTAACTGTGGAGAGTGTTATTCACAGAGGCAGAGAGTGAAAGAGGGATTTGTTTTTCATTTTAACTGA